GTGAGTGACCAGAATGCCACTCACATGGAAGTTTCTGCATCAGAGTACAGCCCTCCTAGAAACTGGGGCTCTGGTTGCATGAGATTCTTCTGGTTCCTTCACTATAAAATGTAAAGGAAACTGTTTTAGGGAGTTTGGGTTTCCTCATCTGGTCCCCAAGTTGAGGGTGTGTTAAAGAAACAAAATATAACAAGAGCCTAGATCAGTTGTTGTGAAGAGGGTTTCCCAAGATTCAGGGCTTGTTCTGAAAGTGGGGGGTTTACTGTCTAGTGCTAAGTTTCTGATCCTAGGGTACACGGTTCTATTTTGGGGTGAAGGTACCATTTCTGTAGGCAAGATTCTGGCTTGGTATTGAGGTGCCCATTTTGGGGGTCTGATTTCCATGCTGGGGTGAGAGTTGCATTTCTGGAGGGGGGTTTTCACCTCAGGGTCGCAGATTCATGATTGCAGTTGAGCTTTGAGTCTTGGGGCCAAGAATCCCTTTTGGCCTTCCATATTCTAGGATTGGGTTGAGGTTCAATTCTTGGGCTTGGGGTTTGATTATCAGGCTGGAGGTCTTGTGCCCTGGGAGGAAGGGAAGAGCTAGAATTCCCTTTCACTTCTGGAGAAGACTTTCTGGGACCAGCAGCAGAGGAATGGGCCAATAGACTCATGAGCTGATGGTCAGGAGGCCTGGGGTCCAGCCCCTGCCTGGATGTGAGACTGAAGATAAATCACTTGTAAGCATTAGGTCTTCGCTCGAAGCATGGCCGGGCAGGAGTGTTGACTCACAAAGCACCATCCAAGCTCTCTTGATCCTCCCAAAATGACACTAATGGTGGGTTCCACAGGCACCGATGGCCATTGCTCGGTGAGTCAAATACATGATGACAGCGCTCAAGCTGCCCTGGGCACTGTCAGCTTGGTCCAATTAGTGCCAATTGGATCTTAACTTGTGCTGAGGGGTCCTGGGGCAAGGGAGCGCACACTGAGTGGGATATGTTAAATCGGGGGCCCTGGGGCTTGGTGTGTGGCTCTGGCAGGCGGGAGCTGGGCTGGGTTGGGCCCACAGCTTCCCTCCTAGTGGGCCAGTTCTCACATAGCCCAGGCGGTGGGTGCAGACATACCGTAAACTGTGATCTGAGGGGCCTGGCTCTCTCCACTGTGCTCTGTGGAGGAGAGTGACTGGGATGCGGGGGGATTATTCTGTCCTCTGCCCCCAGCCTGGCTAGCGCCCAGCTGAGAAACATCTGCTTCTATATAGGGCCACTGCCCTAACTCCCCTCTCTCATTTCTTTCTCCTGTTACTCCAATGTGGATCCTCTCAGAGAGCCGAAGTTGCTGGGAAGAAAAAAGCCCATTGTGTTTGTCTGGGACTTTCAGCTTTGTGAAGCCCTCCTGTCCCTTCCCTCCTGGATCTTGCTCCACATCTCCTAGAGCTTGCGGAGACAGGTGGTCTTGGCCTTATTTCCTGGAGGAACACACTGAGGTCCAGTTGGGTGGACATTTCCAGGGTACCCTCAATGATGCCTGTACCCGCTTGCCCAGGGTCACAGAACCGGCCAGTGGGCCTTGAACGCGAGTGCCTGCCTTGTGGCCTTCTAGCCCCACGACACCCCTCTGGCAGGTGGACCTTCCTGTCTCCGACGCCCTCCTCTGTTCAACCCAAATGGGAGACAGCAGGGAGTAATGCAGAGCTGTCAGGGTGACGCCATGCAGGGAGTTTCCAGCTCAGGGGCAATTTCTCTAATGTTTCAGAAGAACTTCTCCCTTAGGACAGAGCCCCTTCCCTATGGCCCAGGAAACTCAGGCACCACAGAAGATGGGGGAGTTTTCTCCACCACTAGCTCTGTCCCAGGGATGTAGGGGGTGCTCTGTCTGGGTCTGCAGGGACCCTCCGAGCCCCCCTGTCTGGGCCTGGCCAAGGTACATGGGAGGTTGAGGAGCCTGGGGATCCCACTGGGCTAAGGAAACTCAACCCAGACATTGGACTCTGGTGTGGTCCAGCAGGCGTCTGGAGTTCCCCAAGGGCATGGGGTGGGGGAACTAGGGGGTGAGGAGGGAGGAAGGAAGCAGGCAGGGTAGAGGCCCTGTGGTTGAGGAACGGACTCTGGAGTCAGATTTTGTCTCTGCTGCCTGGGCCACCTGGAGCCAGAGGCTAACTTCTGCATACCCGCATTCCTTATCGGAGCTGATGCTTGACAAGTCAAATACTAGTCATTGTTATCCTGAGGCTCAGCCTGCAGGTCCCAACTTAGACGTCCCTGACCCCCCCACCCCCATCCCCCGGCTGGGTTAGATGGCCTCTGTGTCCTCCTCACTGCAGCCCTGGGCCCCCCTCACAAGCACGGATCCAACCAGGCTTGAGGGCCTGGTCGGCTGTCGGTGTCCCGCGCGGCCTGCGCGCTCACTGGCCCGGCATACACAGTAGGTGCTCAACAAATATTTTGAAATAGAGGCAAGAATGGGCTGAATCTGGGAAAGTCAAACTTTTCTTTCCCGGCCCCTCAGCGCTGCAACAGCCCACTCTTTTCTTGGTTGAAATGACGTTTCCCGAATACCAGGCTCCGGGGCCAAGACAAGAGAAGGGAAGAGTGATGTGGGACTGTCGGTTCATCCATTCATGCCTTGATGACACAGATGTTCTCGGGGGTGCCGTACCTCTGGGGACGGATGTGCCCCCATCCTTACAGCACTCCTGGTGCTGATCCCTGGGGCTGAGAAAGGTCAGAGGAGGAGAGGGTGGTCAGCTAGGCTGAGTAGAGTCAGGGAAGGCTTCCAGGAGGAGAGATTGGTTTTGCAGAATGATGGGGAAGTTTGGGTAGATAACAGATGGGCCTTCTCTTGGGGGTGGGCACAGAGCAGCTGAAGAAGATGGAGCTGCCTGATATATGGCAATAAGGCAAAGCTGGCCAATGACATCGTGGCCTGAGGGTGTGGGGACCTTGGCTATCTTGCTAAAGATAGCTGTGGGTACCACTGATCCTCGCGCTGCCGTCCACAGACAAGTGACCCTGGGCAGGTCATGGCATGGCCCGAGGGCTAGTGTACCCACCCGTAGGATGGGAGCTGTGATGGCCGCCACTCAGGGTGGTCAGCCCACTGTGGCAAACCTCTTTGTAAAAGAAGATGGCCCAGGCAGTGGAGGGACGGAGCGGCAGGCCGTGCAGGGGGGCAGGCTAGGAGGCAGGTATGGGGGGGTGCTATGTGGGAAAACAGGAAGGCAGTCCTGCTTCAGGCTTCTGTTTTGTAAATAATTAAGTTCTTATCTCGGGTTTGTGGTGCCCACGCTGCAGGAGGCAGATGCGGCCGTTGGGAACAAGGTGCTGTGTTGTCCAGGAAGAGGTGGAGTCCCTCCCCTGCCCTTTTCCTTCTCTCCCAGTCCCCTGGTCATGGCAGTAAGGAGCCTTCTAGGGTCTTCTGGCCTTGTCACTCCTTCCCTGCGTTTCTCTTTGTCCCTCCTTGTCTCCACCTTGTCATTGTCTGGTTCCCCTTCACATTCTCACCTCTGCAGACACAAAGCACCGCTTGCCCCCTGTACGCCCAGGCCCCAGGCCCGTTGGTGCCATTACTCTGTGCCTGCCTCTTTGCTGCCTGTTGAAACCCTTCTCCCTCCCCAGTGGCCCTTCCCAAACACCCCACCTCCTTGCGTCCAGCACTACCCCCTAGGTCTGCTCAGGGGCCTCAGGGAAGCACTGACCTCTCCCTCGCCCCATGCTCCAGAGACAAGCAGTCGTTTTTTCATTTGTAGTGCTTGATACAGAGAATGTGAAGGTCTGTTTAGTCTTGTCCAGCTAACATAAACCAGCCGGAACTGGGCCATGGCGAGGACTTTGCTGTAAGTTCCCTTATTTGGAATGAAATTCATTGTTTTTCACGGGGAGGCAGTGGGGGCTTTGGGGAAGCCCCTCTGTGCCCCCTCCTTAGGACGTGGTCTGCAGGGCCCCTCCAAAGGTCACCAAGGTGTCTGTGACATAGAGCCTGGCCCTAGGACACCAGTTACCCCCAGTACCTCAGGGATGGAGAGGGCCTGGGGTCATGTTGTCCGGCACTGACCTTTCCCAGGGGAGAAACAGGCTCAGAGAGAAGGGACCTGCCCAGAGTCCCAGGGCAAGTTGGAGCAGACGGAGGTCTAGAAGGCTCCCGAGTCTCTGGCTCTCAGATCTCTGTGCTTTGCCAGGATGCCTCTGGCCTAGGAGCTGTGCGGGGTGGGGGTGCTGGTGAATCTGGCTGCAAGAAGCCTTTCAGTCTGGGCATCTTCCAAGGCTTCCGGCCTAGCGGCTAAACACAGAGGCCTGGCGCAGTGAGCTGGGGGGTCCCCGGGTGTGAGAGAGAAGGAAGGGCAAGGAAGGCAGGGGGTGGTGCGAGGGAAGGGGGAGGTGGCTGAGGGTCCAGGAGAACTGGTTCTGGTCCTGACTCTGCTGCTATTGCTGTAACTTCGGGCTCTCAGATGCCTTCTTTGACCTTGGTCTTCCCCACTTGTCCTAGAGGCTCAGCCTTTTTTGTGCCTCTCCCAGAGTATGCCTTGGATGAACTCAGGCCAGGGAATGATGGGCTGTGGGACCCCGCTCACCCGGCAGGTCATTATCCCTCTCTGGGCCCAGGTTCCCCTTCCTTGCAAAGGGGGGTGTGGACCCTTCATGAGTCCTCTGCAAGAGCATGAGTCTTAGAGGCAGAACTCGGGTCTCGGTCTTGCCTCTGATACTTTCTTAGCTGGGCTACTCATGAAGGATACAGGCTTCAAAACCTGCGGCTCTACAGGGAGCAGTGGGGGTCTTTGCAAGAAGGACATGAACTCATATCCCCAAAATGTCTATCCCGGAGTGCCCAACAAATAGAGTGGGGAGTGGGGCAGGAAGCAGGCCAGCGTGGTGGCCGTTGCCTTTGAGCTGCTCAGCCTACCCAGGCCCGCCTCGGGGCTCCCTGTGGCCCCGCTGCCTTTGCTCTCTCCTGGGCCCCTACTGGATGAACAGCAAGCGCATGTTTAGATATTCTTTCTAGAGGGAGTTCCCCATTTAAAATCCTTTAAAAAGAACTTCTCATTTATTCACTGATTCTTTTCACAGAGATCACACAGCTGGGACGTAGGAAGCTGCAACTGACCAGTGTAGGAATCCCCGGGTCTGAAAAAGGAAAGAAAGTTGTTAGGAAGCGCAGGCCTGAGAAATTGTAACTGGAAGGCCCTGGTGCTAGGGAAACCAGGGCAGGAGACACTGTATTTGTTTACTATGAACATTCCAGTCGCTGCTCTTTTAGCAGTAACACTAGTACTAGTATCCAAGGCTGTGTGTAAAGGTACGTTAAACGTCTGCTTCTAGATGGTTGGCGAGGCACTCATTTACAAAAGATCATCTCGTTGCCAAGAGCACATCACACCCTAGCAAACATTAAACTCAGCATTAAAGTGAATGGAGATGATGTAAAGACCAACAAAACCACACTGGCCCTGGGCATTCCTGGGCAGTGGGAAGCCATTGAAGGTTTTAGATTTGCTTTTTAGGTAGATCAGTCTAGCTGCCTTGTGGAGGATGGATTTAAGAGGGACAAGATGGGGGCAGGGAGGCTGGTTATAATGGGAGCATAGCTATCTCGGGGAAGGATGCCTGGGCCTGAACTGCAGTTTTGGTGAAAGAGAGGAAGGGATAGCTTTTGAGACACACTGAGCAGGGGTGCCTGGCGGGGGTCATAAGGGAGAGGGAAGAATCCAAGATGGTGCCTAGGTTTTCAGGTGGCTGGGAGGATGGAAATTCCATCGAGACCCCAGGCAGCAGGGGAGGACTGGAGGGGAAGCCGGTGGGTTGAGTTTTGGGATGCCAGAGGAGCGTTGAGGCATTCTGGGGGAGACACTTGGGTCAGCAGCTCCATGTGTGAGCTCCAGGATCGTGGGGGAAGTCATGACTGCAACCTGTTGTCAGCAGTGGGTGCCACTTAAACTTTGAAGGTGAATGAGGGATCCCAGGGCAGACAGAACAAATCTGTGAAGGAGTTGGGCGAGGAGTAAGGGAAAATCAAGAAAAGGCAGCTGGCCAGAGAAGCTGACGGAGGTCATGGGGGTAGAGTTTAGAGGTTGTGATATGGCATATGAGGTGGTTCTCAGACCTTAATGATCCTGTGGATTGCCTGTAGATTGTAAACATGCAGGCTCCCGGAGCCTACATCCAGATAATCTGGCTTAGTCAGTCTGGGGTTGGGCTTCTGCGTTCTGCTTTTTTAAACAAGAATCTCAGGTGATACGGATGTGAGAGATCTGTGGACCACCCATTGTGAAACGCTTCCCTGGGAGTCGGTCAGATCTGGGCTTCAATCTTGGCTCTTGGGTCTTGACATTGGGCAAGTCCCTTGATCTTCCAAATCTTCGGTTTCTCTATTGGTAAGCAGGCATACTAGTTCCCACTTCACAAGGTTATCGTGTGGATTAACTGGGGTGGCTCAGGACCTGGTCCATAGTAAAATGTCAGTCAACAGTAGGCACTTCTTGTTCATAACTAGAAGTTTGAAGATAGTGAGCAATGGGACAGGGTTCAGCCTAATGGGAGTCCTCCCCTGCCTAGCATCTAGCTGGCCCCAGATTCCATCTTCAAGGTGTCTTGTCTGAATTGATAGGACTGGGGGGCTCCTGGCTCATCTGATCAAGCCCACAAAAACTCATGAATCAAATCAGAAGTCAATTTACCATTTGGCAGTGAGAAATTTACTGTCAGATGGACCGGGCAGTATGTCAACTGCTTGGCATTTTCTTCCCTTGCAGGAAGCTCCTTGAGTGCTGGGTGAACCTGGCATCTGATCAGGGAGCTGAGGCCACAATCTGAGATTTTAATGCCCTTGGGCCCTGAACTCCACCCAGACCACTTCACCAACAGGGAGATGCCTACCAGGTGGACCCAACGCTAGGCCACCCCTGGCTGTGCTCTCATGGGCCCCACTGCAGTTTGCTTCAGGGACACCCCCTTCCTCTTTTTCCTTGGCATCCAATGAACACCTCTTTGCTTTAGGTTTGTTAATACCTCCAGTCAGGTTTCTTTTACTGGGGCTGTTTCGTCTCTCGAGGGTAACTTTGCATGCTCTGATTCATGGCCAGTCGATTTCATAGACTGAAAATCAGGCAGTTTATTGTCAAGTGCATTGGGGAGGCACCTCATTGTGGCCCATTCCCCACTTACTGTCCACACAGGCTTTCAAGAAGGAGGGAGTGTGGTAAGTCCACGATGGTACCTCTATACACAGGATGACTTTGCAACTTTTAATATTCGGTGGTACTGTTTTTAAAACTGTGCACCACATTGTTTAGAGCAAAAAGCAAATTGCACGGTATGCCTAGTGTGCATCCTATGATCCTATTTGTGTTTAGAGTATTATATTTTTCCTTTCTCTCCCCTTCCTTCCTTCCCTCCCTCCCATCCCTCTTTCCTTCCTTCCAACTAATATTTATTTAGTGACTACTATGTGCCAGGCACTGTTCTAGGCATTAGGATATAGCTGTGAACAAATTCTCTGTCTCATGGAGTTACATTCTTATGAGTATGAGGAGAGAAAGACACACACACACACACACACACACAAAGAAAGAAAGAAAGAAAAAGACGACATATGGGATGTCAGATGGTGGTAAGTGCTCTGGAGAGAAATAAATCATGGGCTGTGGCAGGGATGGAATTACGGGTGGGAAGTCTGGCGGTGTTTACACTTTAAATAAATTGGCCAGAGAAAGCCTGATGGCATTTGAAAATGACCAGAAGGAGGTGAAGGAGTGATCAATGTAGATGTCTAGAGGAACAACTCTCTCTTCTGTGGTTTGATGTCTTGTTATCTATCTATCTATCTATCTATCTATCTATCTATCTATCTATCTATCTATGTATCTATCCGTGCATCTGTTCATCGCCCATCCATATTTTCTTTGTACAAACACAGACCAAGTCTGAATGGATGCCCTCCCAGCTGTTACCAGTGGCAACCTCTGGAGAATAGGCTGGGGATGGAGTGGCATGGAAGAATGGGATGCTTTTATTTTTACTCCACACTAATTGGTATGGTTTTGTTTGTTTTTAAATAATAAGCATGTAGTGTTTTTATACTTTAAACTTTTTTTAAAAATGAACTTTTATATCCCTGCCCCCTCCCCCAAGAGAGGGTAGTCAACAGAGTCAACTCCCTGCTTTGGCAAGCTGTATTGAGGAATGAATGAGATTCTTGATATATAATGGCCAGTGGTTCTGCCTGGTGCTTAATAAAGGTTAAATTCCTTTTCCTTCTCTTAATTTTCCCCCCTCAGTGCCCAGGACAGTGCTAGGTGTTCAAAAGTGCATAATGGCAATGGATGAAATTCAAGCAAATCCTGAACTCACTGCCCTTACTGGGAGCCCCTGGGAGTCAGTGACAAGCTCCAACTCTCATGCCTCTGGAGGCTGGGTAGGTCTGGTTCCCCTCCATAGAGATCAGAGAACCCTGTAAGGACTCATCTAGAGGACCTTAAACCCTCCTAGAGCATGCGTGTGGTTTTGGACCCCTGTCTCAGACATGACACTGCATCCTTCTCATCATTTTGGTCACCGTTTTATTTTTTATTTATTGTTAGTAGGCTCCATGCATGGAGCCTAGCATGGGGCTTGATGCGGGGCTCAAACTCACGACCCTGAGATCAAGATCTGAGCTGAGATCAAGAGTCAGACACTTAACCGACTAAGTCACCCAGGTACCCCTTGGTCACCATTTTAAATTCTATCATCACCAGCAACAGATGCTTTAAAAACAGTTTATTGCCTAAATTATTGTGAGTAATATATTCTTGGCCAACATCTCTCCATTTCCCCCACCCCTCAGCCTCTGACAACTACTATTCTGCTCTCTGCTTTTATGAATTTGACTTTTTTAGATTTTATGTATAAGTAAGATCATGCAGGACTTGTCTTTCTCTGTCTGGCTTATTTTACTTAGCATAATGTCCTCTCAGTTCATCCATGTTGTCCCAAATGGCAGAATTTCCTTCCTTCTTAGGCTGAATAATATTTCATTTTGTATATATACCACATTTTCTTTATCTATTCATCTGTAGATGGACACTCAGGTTCTTTCCATATCTTGGCTATTGTGAATAGTGCTACAGTGAATATGTGAGCACAGATATCTCTTCGAGATAGTGATTTTATTTCCCTCAGAAGTGGGACTGCTGGGTCACTTGGTAGTTCTGTTTTTAATTTTTTGAGGAACTTCCGTACTTTTTTTTTTTAAATAATGGATGTACATTCCCACCAGCATTGTTCAACAGGTCCCTTTTTTCCATGTTCTTGCTGGCACTTGTTATCTCTAGTCTTTTTGAGAATAGCCATCTGACAGGTGTGAGGTGATATCTCATTGTGGTTTTGATTTGCATTTCCCTGATGATGAGTGATGTTGAACACCTTTTCATCTTCTTGTTGGCCATTTGCCTGTCTTCTTTGGAAAAATGACTATTCAGGTCCTTTGCTCATTTTTAAAAAAAAAAATCCAGTTATTTGTTGTTGTTGTTGTTGTTTTGTTCTGTTTTTTGTTTCGTTTTGTTTTGTTTTTTGCTATTGAGTTGTTTGAGTTTCTTGTACATTTTGGATGTTAACCCCTTCAGATGTATGGTTTGCGAATATTTTCTCCCATCTGTAGGTTGTCTCTTCACTCTGTTGATTGCTTCCTTTGCTGGGCAGAAGCTTTTTAGTTTGATGCAGTCCCACTTATCTATTTTTGTTTTTGTTGCCTGTGTTTTTGGAATCATATCCAAAAAATCATCGTCAAGACCAACGTAAAGCTTTCCCCCTATGTTTTCTTCCAGCGCTTTTATAGTTTCTGGTTTTACGTTTAAGTCTTTAATCCATTTTGAGTTGATTTTTGTATCCAGTGTGGTATGTGGTCCAACTTCATAATTCTGCATGTAGATATCCAGTTTTCTCAGTACCATTTACTGAAGAGGCTCTTCTTTCCCCGTTGTGTGTTCTTGGCACCCTTGACAAAGATCGGTTGATCATAAATGCTTGGATTCATTTGTGGGCTCTATTTTCTATTCCATTGGTCTATATGTCTATTTTTATGCCAGTACTAGAGTATTTTGATTACTATACCATTATTATAATTTGAAATCAGGAAGTGTGAGGCCTCT